TCGAACCTGAGGCAAAATTGCTTCTCCAAGTGTAGAAGTTTGAGGCTAGTGCAACCTAGATTGTGCCATCCCAGATGCTCCATCATTATGAAGCTTTGCCACGACTCCTTCAATCTTTGCAGTTCTTTGTGATAACGTAGCGAGGGCATTCATGATAGCATCTAACTTGGACTCTGAACTTTCCGTCATACTAATGTCTTGGCCCCCGACCATTCTAAGAGAAGGACAAGAATGACTCTACAAGAAAACAATATTGGTTTAGAGGAGGGTACTCCGCAACCTCTAAAATGCCTTAAGAGCTTCAAGAAAAGAGGTAATCCACTCTCTCCAAGAAGAATAAGACTCCAATATTGTAACAAAAGAAGTATCAGTTTAGAGGAGGGTAATCCGCAACCTCTAAAGTGCTAGTACACTTCCAAGCAGAGGGGTAATCCACACTCCAACAAAGAAGAAACTAGCTCTGATATCTGAGGTGAGTGAAGTCTCGACAAACTGTCACGGACACAGAATACAGACTTGATATCTACTAAGAAGTTCAAGAAGAACTGGCAAGAACTAGATTAATGAGATGAATACAAGAACAACACCAGAGAGGTGAGCTAGAGCTCCAAGAGATGTGTTGTCGAGACTGAAGAACTCTTCAGCCTCGATTCCAATATATACTCCTATTTAGGAAGCTTCTCAAGCAACTTCTACTAACTAGAAAGCTTCTAGAAGGTTCCAGAGACTTGCTTCTAGAAGGTTCTAGAAACTTATCTTTAGAAGGTTCTAAGGACTATGTCCCGAACATCTTCTACCAACTAAGAAGCTTCTAGAAGGTTCCAGAGACTTGCTTCTAGAAGGTTCTAGAAGCTTGTCTCTAGAAGGTTTTAGAAACTTGTCTCTAGAAGGTTCTAAGGACTATGTCTCTAACAGTTGTTTAGATTCTCTACAATATAAGTATAATTCTTCTTGACAATATCAAGTCTTTTCTTGCTTAATAAGAGATTTGAAATGAATCTTATCAATTTATATAGGTTTTGGCCTTGATAAATAAGCTTCTTGGAAATTTAAAAGTTGTCACTATGATTTGATTTATATCTCTCCAATCAAACCTATATTCTTAGCATCTTTCAAAGAATCAATTGTTGCATATAATGGCTTAAGTAATAAATTACTCTAATTATTTTATTTTTGATATTGCCAATAATAAATCTTTGAAATTATCTTTCAATCCATATCAAAATTGATTGATAAAAGCTATTATTCTAATCCACATCAAAAGTAAGATTTTAGAATTTAGCAACATTTAGTAGTTGAACGTGATCATTCTTGTAAAGATAGGAATTTGATCTCTACTACCTTTTTTTGATCACTTTTTTTAAATAAGGCCATAAAGACTTCTAAGAATGAATTTAGATCATAAAAGAATCATGAATCTTTTTCTATCAAAGGTATAAATCAAGAGAGAGCACTTTCCAATAGAAGTGCATCTATAAATCTAATTTGAGTAAATCCATTAGAATATTGGAAAAGATGCAATCTTAGAAAGAGCTTCACCTATTGTAGAAATCCTCAAAATTTTGATCTTATTGCATCAAACTTCTTTGACAAACTTATTCTTGTATCCTTCATACTTATAGAAAGAAGACTTTTTGCATTCATTTATAAAATTGATCTACTTACTTCTTTCAATTGCACAATTTTTTGGTATAGAGTCTAAGCTTCATTGTTGACTTCTTCCATAGGCGTACAAATAGTACCTCCAAAATTCACATTAGAAATACATGAGATTTTAACTCTAAGAGTATTCATAAGCTTGTAAAGATTTTCCATAGTTGCAAATCTATTCTCACTTCCATCATAAGTAATATCCATAATTTTTATTTCCATAGATGACTCAAATAAATTCACAAGTCAAATTAGAAGAGGGTAATTTGCAACTTCTAATACCAAATAAAAATTTCTACAAAGAGAGATAGTTCACTTTCTTCAAGGAAAATAATCAATATTTTAAAAAATAAAAATTAGTTTAAAAGTACATAGTCTATAACCTTCAAAATACAAAAATAGAAGTAAAATAATCCACTCACTTTTAAAACAAAACAAGAACAACAAATTAGCACTCTTGTTAAATTTTCAAGGACATGAATCTCAAAAAACTAAAATATTAATACATTCTTATGTCACTCAAAAAGACTAGAAAATCACTCAAAGATAATATAACATTAAACAAGAATATCTATTGCTAAAGATAAGAAGACTAGAAAGTCTTGAAATAAGACTTAGGATTTAAAAGGCATTGATAAGAGTGAAAAAGGCTTCACTTTTTGCCTCTATATATACTATATAACTAAAAGCTATGTGATGATGTTTTATAAGACATCCAATACATGTCTAATTTGCAAGACATGTGTTTTAACTTGCAAAACAAGTTTCTTATATGTGTGCCTCATCGTTAGCATATATTATAAGCTACACATACGTGCGACACATGGCTAACTTATTGGTCAAGTTTCTAACCTATCAATCAACTATAAAAATATATAAAATCAAATATGCATCTATGAAGCTTCTAAGAAGCTATGCCATAAGATAATATTAAATCTATATATAATTATCTTTTATCTAGCACTTCTTATTTAAATAAATATGTATATTTGTGTCACACGACTCTTAGTTAGATAGTATATATAAAAGCAAGACTAAAGCCTTCTACATTCTTGTCAATGCCTTTCTTGTTCTTAGTCTTATTTCAAGAGATTCTAGTTTTCTTGTCTTTGACAATAGTCATTTTAGTTTAATATTATACCATCTTTGAGAGATTATCTATTTTTTTTAAATGACATAAGACAATATTGACCATTTGGTTATTTAAGATTCATGTCCTTGACACCTTCGTGCCATACATCTCTGCATACATATAATATTCTTATTTATAATAAAAAAATTTAAAAAAATTTATAATAAAATATTTCTAATATAAAATTACTATAAAATTTAAAATAAATGAAAGAATTACTTAAATTTATCATAAAAATATGTTAAATTTTACCAAAGAAAACAAAAAAATAAAAAAATGTGCCATAAACCATTGTACACAAATATTTTATTTTAAATTTATCCAAGACTTTTTGATATAAATAAGAGTTTCATTTTGTATTTACAAAGGTACGTAGCTTGGAAGGATATCTAAGTAAATGGAAGTTGTCTATTTAGCATTTTTGTGTTTATAATAAAAGACTAATTGATTAAAATAATAAATAATAGTACATATGACAAAACAATTGTAAAGAATAATATAGCTATTTATAAAAATAGATATCTATTAACAAATGTCTTTGATTGTCATATTAGACTAAATACTCAATTTTATTCTAATTTCAAAATTTTAAGTATAAGATAAATTAGGTCTTCAATATATTTTATTTACTATTTTTATTTTATACTACACTTTGTGATGCTTATATTCATACCATATATAAATTAGCAACCTCACATATCATGAAATTTTAATTTAATTATTTTTAATCTAATTTCATATTATATTTTATTGTGCAAACTAGAAGGCAAAGATTTTTGTTTACCATAAATTAAAATTTTAATTTTCAGGATGTAATATCAATTTTTTATTTTCAAATTTGCTTTTATTCTTTTATAACATGGATTTATAAATTTTATGTATCAACTTGGATAAGTTTGTGAGTTTTATTTGCATAAACCTGCAATAATATTATTATTCTATCTAAAAAAGTCATTCTCAATAAATATATATATTTTAAAATCTTATAATTTTTTTTATTTTTTATTTTCAAATCCTTGGTCTTATTTTAAAATAAGACTTTTGATCCTTAATTTCTATTATTTGGTCTTTTTAATCCAATTTCATATGACTTATTTTTATAATTCAACTTGGTCATGAAATTATAAAAATATTTTATATTTTATATATGTAATTTGGTACTATTATCAATTCTATGTGTATTTTTATACATCACAAATTTTTGCTATTATAATTAATAATAATTTATTTATTAAACCATTTTGTTTTTCAAGGTGTTCTATGATTTTGTTTTTAAATCTTTGTATTTCCAATCAAGAATATTTCCCACCAAGTTTTGATGATAGCTCTGTGATTTGCTGATACTTTTATTTGAAAGTTAGCATGTTGAAAAATTACTCTGGAATACAAGAAGAATAATATACAAAAAGATATCACTCTATATTACATTAAGAAATAAAAAGATATACAGCCTCATTATTTTCAACAACTTTTTTGTATATCGGTTTTAATGTTTCTTGTTGATAAATTTATCTTTTTCAATTTTACTGGAGTCAAAGTTGACATCTATTTTTTTACCTGCAAACTTCATTCGTTTTAATCCTTCAAGTTCTTATGAAATGCAAATACTATGTGTTGCATGTGTGTATGTATGTATGTATGCATGCATGTATGTATGTATGCATGCATGTACGTATTCACAATTCAGATGTAAAAAAAAATGTGTTTGTAAAAATTATAAGCACGTTTTAATAACTAATTCAGTATCTTATACTTCAGCAAATGAAGAGCTGTAAGTTATTCTGACTAATTCATAATAAACAGTCCATAAAACTTAACAGTTCAATATGAATGAAACCAATATACGCTACTTATTGATCAATAAACAGTCATGTGTAACTTTTGATCAAGAACTTACATCGTTGCCTACATTCCACTTCACAAATTATGACAATTCCAACAAACACTCCTCCGACTTATGATTCACAATAATAGATTTCTCTTGCATCAAATAAAATTCATCAAATCTAACCCATGGTCAATTATGTGCTGCACTGATAGGCTGAGGACCATGTTTTAGAGGCACTCTTGCCACAACAATTACTTTACGATAAGATGAGTGGGATAGAAAGCAGTCTATACCTAGATTAACATAATGACTCACAGAAATCTGAAGTATTTTCGGAAACATTGGAGACTACTTGGCCCTTGATTCTAATCCATAGTTAAGACAACCATGAAGAGTAAACAAACAACTTCCAGTTCATTAATCAATAATGCAAACCAATGGTGGTAAATTCTTGCGACGAACACACAATTAGCTACCTTTTGTCCGGATGTCTGAAGTGAAGATAATCAAGTCACAGAACCTTAAACATACTCAACTAACACCTGTAATGTAAGGAGATAGTCCGAAATGTCAAGAAAAATTACTAACCAGTATGCTGAAAACCTCTGTAATTGAGGAACACAATCCTACAAAAGAAGTAGTACATTTACAAGTTTATACTTGTCCATGTTGAAGAGCACAAGGAATATACTAGAGCCAGATTAAGACATGCTATGTTATCTCCTACAGAGGGAGAAACACAAGAATGGGTACTTGGGGGAAAAAGAAAAAGAAAAACTAACAGATGCTGGATTACTTCTTGCCTTTCTTGCCACCGCCTTTCTTAGAGTCCATCTTCGCCTGCATCCGTGCAGCAGCCGCCGCCTTAGCTTCTTCTCTTTTCTTCTTGTCTTCCTCCTTCTTCGCAGCGGCAAGGTCTCGCTCCTTACGAACTTCCTCCAGCTTAGCCTTCTCTGCTGCTACACTGTCGAGTGTGGATCCCCTTGGAGGACGCGCACTGAGCAGCTCAATCTCAAACACCAAGGTCGCTCCAGGTGGAATTACGGGAGCTGACCCGGCTTGACCATAAGCGTAGTCAGACTTACAGGTGACGATTGCAACTTCACCGACTTGCATGGTCTTAACTGCAATGTCCCAGGCGCGAATAACACTCCCTTTTCCAATCTCGAAGGTGAACACAGTGTTATCCTCTTTCGTAGAATCGAAAACTTCACCTATTTCATCAAAGCCAAAAATTGGTGAGAATGTGGCGGCTCCGCCAATTCAACATCCCATGTGCGCTACTGTCCAATTCTCAAATACCTACATTTACAGAAAGCAATTGTTTCGCCTCGAATGTCACGTTTCGCTCAACCTTTCGCGTTTCTGAACACTAATGTCAGAAATTCAGTCCGATTTGAGGAGCAGCCGACCATATGTACTGATAAGAACATCACTACAAAATTGTTGCGATCAGGTTGGATGCAGACCTGTATCAGCAAATTTGCCTTCATACTGTACATCGACGTTGGGCAAATTTTCCGACGGATGAAGCGCTCCAGGCCTGGCTTTCCGAACAATCTGCTTAACAACTCCGCCGTCGCCGGTCAGATCCACTACATCACCCATGTCTGCTTCTCGAAGTTTCACAAAAATCCACCACTTCGGTAGGAGCTTTCAGCCAAATTTCAAAAACTAAACAGGACTTTCTCCGGAAGCTTGATAGTCGTCGGGACCTTCCAATCAATACAAATAGGATGCACGGTCTGTTTGCTTAGGTCACTAGTTATCTCAATGGCCATGCCCAAAATTAGGTCAACAGACCCTTTGAACACAAATTCCAACTCACTCGCTCTGCTCACCAAAAACCTAAACTCCGCAACCTGCCTTCTCCCTCGCACCCTAAACACTAAAAACCCAACTGAACCACGACTCTCACAGCAACGATACCTTCGTCACTACCAAAGCATACAACAACAAACCCAGGCTGAGCACGGCAAACAGCGCGTCCCACAATACAGATAACCCAACAAGCTTAGAGACTGCGCTTAAAAACCCAAATGGCACAACCGGCAGCGACCCAAATGCTCACGGATCCAAAGATGGGGAGGGATGGCGATGAAGATTGGCATGGAGGGGAAGAAAGAGCACGAGGACCAGGAAGTTAAGCTACCCTGTTCGGAGATAACGCCTCGCTGTAAGTATTCCTTTGTCACGGTGTATATATACGTATTAGTTCCCTATGTACGGTTGTGGTGATGGGTGACCGCGAGTGTTGTGAGGTGGAGGGGTGAAGGCGTCCTACCACCGCACCTTTGAAAATCGTTTCTCATTGTTCGTCCACACGAGTTATAATCTTAACAACCCACTTCTTCATTTTGTAAAGCTTGGAACCAAGTTAGTGTATGAAAATTATAGTTTTTTTATAAAAAAAATTTAAAGATTATGGAAATTATAGTTGTTTTTTTTAATAATTTGTGTGGAGTGAAAGTTGTGAGGTTGAGTACACATCAAATTTATATTTCCATGTCTTGGTTTGATATTTAGTAAGTGGAATATGAGCATGATTAAGCTAGAGAAATCAAGCATAAGAAATAACAAAAAAATAAAAAATAAAAAAATGTGGCTTGGTTTCTTAATGAGTCAAGGAATAATAATTAGTATTAGATATATGTTTTTAATGATAGTAATACTATATAAAAAATACTTATTGGTAAACTCTTATTCACAATTTTGATTATCAATCAAGCAAATGATAAATCTTTACAGATTTAAAGATTGGCACAAAAGCCTTGTAATATATGTAAAAATATATGAATAGATATATGTTATTTTTAAGATTAAAAATTATTAATAAATATCTATAAAAAAATGATTTTAATAGGTTCAACTTTTTTGGATTCATGTTATTATATACATAATAATATATAAGATTTAAAATATAATATGATATCAAAACTAAATATTAAGTGGATTTTGCAGTAATGTAAGAGAATTTGTATAATAAAAAAAATGAAGTAAATATTTTTATTTAAATATTTTTAATTTTTAAATGAAAATTTAATTGTATCTATAATTTATCTATTGAGCACATACAACTTCAACCTACATATTTCTTTTACTAGTGGTGTAGTGCAAGTATGGTGCTTGTGTAAGTGTGATAGGGGCACTTATATGAACTCCAATGAGGTCATTTATTGGATTATGAGAAATACCAAAATATTAAAGAGGAGAAGTAGTAAAATATTTATATCCTAAAAAAATCTTAAATCTTTGTCTAAATAAAAATAACAATGAAATTAATAAGATGACATTATACTATTATTTTTAAAACTTTACAAGTTTTTTTTTTAAAGTATAAAATTTTAAAAAAAGTATTAAATTGATTTAGATTTGGACAAAGAATTTTAATGCAAAATTTTTTTAAAAAAATTTAAAAATGAATATATTAATTTAGATATAATATTATTTTATATTCTATTAAAATTTATATTTATATGCTAATATTTGTAAAAAGAAATGTGATTAACTAAAATATTATAATTTCTGTCTTATATTTTATCTATATAATTTAGAAATTATAACCTAAACTTAGATTGAATACCTCTATATTTTAATCAATAATATATTTTTATTTTACCTATTTTAAAAAAAAATCAAAAAAATTAAAATAATATAATTTTTTTTGAAGAAAAAATATTATAATAATTTTATATATAAATAATTATTTTATAATATAATTTTAAAAAATTGAAATTTTCAGAAATCAAGTTTCTCTTATAAATGATATGAAAAAAAATTAACTTGTACCAAAGAAGAAATATGTGTGTATTTTTTATGTAAAACTGATTATTTGATTTTGTAGACTTTTTAATCTCTTCTAAATATATATTTTTTTATATAATTTTTTTTATTAATAATTAATATAATTTTTTTATTTAAATAACTTAATTAGCTTAAGTTATGTATATTGTATAAGTTTGAATATGTATGGTTTTTCAACTATTTTTAAAAAAAGTGATATGAAAAAAAATATTAATATACTTACATAATTTAAAATCTAGAGCATTGCATGCAACCAAATGACATTCATTATATATATATATATATATATATATATATATATATATTCACATACATATAAATTAATTTTATTCATTAGTTTAAAAAGAATAATAACAAAAGAAGATATTATAATCTTATTAAAGAAAAACATAACATAGACTTATAAGCATTGCAAAGCTATAATTTATGTTGCAAAACTGCTAATTTTTGAAAAAAAATAAAACCTAATGCTTTTTAATAATTATTATACTTAAAAATTATTTAAATCTAATTTTAAAATATATATTGTAGAAGTTTATATCACATTATAATATTACTAGATTTTTGAATTTTTTTTTTCTACTTTAAAAATATTTAATCAAACATATATATATATATATATATATATATATATATATATATATATTTATATAATATAATATTAATGATTAAAACACAATTAAAAATTTAAAACTCTATTTTATATTTTTTCAAATTAAGATTAGAAAACATGCCAAAGATTAATTAAAATAATAAATGTGTATATTTATATAGGGATAATAAAATTTCAACTTATTTATAATAAAAAAAATCTTCATATTTGAATAAATATATATAGAATATTTTAATATAAATTCAACATAAAATTATTATTCTACTATAGATGGTATACAAACGTTTTATGCAAAGATTACACAAAGAACCAAATAATTTAATCAAAAATTGAATTATGCGAACTTTTATTAAAAAAGGATTTAATAAGTAAAACATATTTATTAAAAATAGTTAAGTATGGTTGATACATCAATTTACTAATATTTTTAATTATGCAATTCTTTTTAAACCAATTCAAATATATATATATATATATATATATGTATGTATCCACAACAAGCAATGAAAATTAATGTGGAATTCAAATAACTAATGTGACAAAATTATAATTTGAATAAACATTATATTTTGTGCAATCATAATCTATAAGATTACAAAATTATATACATACATCTTTGTTTTATGCTTTGTGACAATCATGTGCAATACATTCTAAAAGAGCATGTGGCTAAGTTACAAACAAAACACCACAAAAAGCAACAGCAATAGAAAGGAATTGAAAAAATAAAACAAACTAAAAATCAAACAAAGCAAAGAAAAAAACAGCTGGAGAAGAATTACAATAGAATGAAACTGGAAACAAGGACATAATCAATTAAGCCTCAAACATTGAAGCATCAGCTAAGAATAGGTCAAACCAAAACAAAAGCAAGATATACATATTTGCATACATATATATATATATATATCAATCTGTGTGTGTATTGACATTCATTCTTGAATGGAACATCACCTAGAAGTTGTGAATATATATATATATATATATATATATATGGAACTAGTGGAAACTCAATGTTGCATATTGTTCCAATATGTTCAATGCCGATTCAATTTGTGGTGCTTTCGAGCTCCATGCCTAGTGATCTAGTAGTACTACTCTAAGCAATTTGTAATAACATGTGGATTTTGATCTCTTATTGATCAAAAGTTGAATTATTGTTTTAATTTTGATCAAAACAATGAGATATGCAGCCAATTAGAGATGATTTATCCAATTGGTTTATCCAGTGAGCTGTTTAAATAGTTTATATGAGAGATGGACACAACATGCAAAGACCCACGATTGAAAAGGAGGATATTGCACATTCACTGAGGAAATGAAGAATCAAATGGCGATACTCTCGGACCCTCAACCTTCACCAGCAAGTGGTCACAACCATACTGGCTTGACAAGCTGATCGACACCAGGTTGCAATGGGAATCCCAGTGAGATGGCTCCAATGTTCGATGTGTCTTCACACAGCTCTGCGATCAAGCCTGCTTCCAAGATGATGATGAACCTCGACCATCTTGGTAGCCTCGATGGTTGCCATCTTCGCACGCCGAGCAATTCAATGGAAACAATACAAGGCACGGAGACTGGGATGGGCCCAACAAATGCAATGACTTATGCTGTCGTAATAGCCTGGTTCTGCAACTATTTGACATGATGATTTAGTCATTTTGTCTGTAGTTACCGATCTAGCGATCAGAACAAAGAAAATCGTGTACATCTCGCTGATTTAGTATGTTCTACTTTTTGTGTTTCATTTTTATGTTCATAGTACAGTCGTCTACATTTTGACGTAATTCAGCCAACTGAATATCATTTCACATTAGTTTTGGTAATACAGCCAACCGGTGCAGCCATACTAGTGTGTAAAACACAGCCTTACGCAGCGAAATAACGCACATGTGCTCGTGGAAGGGAATGAGCACAGTTGAGTTCCACAGAACTGACTTAAGAAGAGCCCAGCATCTAAGCCTAGATTGGAGATATGGAAACCCAAAGTTCTTCTGCAGAAATTTCAACAATTTGTAACGTCAAAGCAGATTTAAGTGCCCTTCCATTGCACAAATCACACCCCATCTTGTTTCATTAGGGGGTGGCAATATTATGTGCTATGACTTAGACCGTTGTCAACAAAACGTAGTCATAGAACCATTGTGCAATTCTTTGTATAGCGTTGCTATTTCGTCGCATCATCGACAAGCTTCCGCCATTCATCTTAATTGGGACTGAAAAGCCAGTTCTTCTGGAAAAATTCCATCCTCTTCTGAAGGTGGTTTCTCCGCGAAATGTTGCTCCAGCTTCTCGACACCTATGCATACTTAGGCTGCATGAGTCGCCACGCTAACGACATCGATCTACGTTAAGATGCAGTCTCTCGAATTATTCGAGACTGTCGATGTTAGTCCCACCTCGTCAAGGAAAGCTAACTCCGACGCCAATGCAGAGAAAGAGCGAGCCAAAGTCTCTACACTTGAGCGTTGCAGACTTCTGTAGCCAGCACGCTATGAATCACACGATTCAACCAATAATTGATCACTCTGTATAACCATCATGCAAACAAACCACTGAGCTGAACTAACTCACACGCTGCTCTGACCACGTCCATATCCACAATGGCGTACCGATCGTTTTGCACCATCAAAGTTTCATTCTTGGTGAACACATCCGCGATGTATATCCCTCCACACAATACCCGTACTACTTTGCTAAACTTCGATGATCGCGGAAGTATTCTGTCAGTGTGGAAATCAA